TAAAGACTGGATGACCACCAATTTTCTTCTATTAAACTCAGACAAAACAGACTTATTACTTATTGGACCTAAATCCTGTACACAGCAGATCTCGCAACTCAATCTACAATTAGAGGGACACAAAGTTAGCTTTAGCTCTACTATAAAAGATCTGGGTGTTATATTAGACAGCAATTTAACTTTTGAAAATCATATATCCCACGTCACAAAAACTGCCTTCTTTCATCTGAGAAATATCGCTAAATTACGAAGTATGCTATCCATATTGGATGCAGAAAAGCTAGTCCATGCTTTTATGACTTCTCGGCTGGATTACTGTAATGCTCTATTTGCTGGCTACCCAGCATCCTCTATTAACAAACTTCAAATAGTACAAAATGCAGCTGCCAGAGTTCTTACCAGGTCTAGAACATATGATCATATCACCCCAATTTTATCCTCCTTACACTGGCTGCCTGTTAAGTTTTGTATAGAATTTAAAATATTACTTCTCACCTATAAAGCTCTAAATAATCTAGCTCCTGTTTATCTAACCAACCTTCTGTCTCGCTACAATCCAACTCGCTCTTTAAGATCTCAAAACTCAGGGCTTCTGGTAGTATCTAGAATAGCAAAGTCAAGAAAAGGAGGTCGAGCCTTCTCCTTTATGGCTCCTACACTCTGAAATAGCCTTCCTGATAACATCCGAGGCTCAGACACACTCTCAGTTCAAAACTAGATTAAAGACCTATCTGTTTAGTAAAGCATACACTCAATGCATCACTTAGCCGGTTTCCACACAAGTTTCTACATCTTGTTTATTATGAACAGCAGCTACGCTAATTATTCTCTTTTTTTTTCTCCATTTCCACCTAGGGATACTCATTCCGAGGTCTTTAGATTATGCGGAGTCACTGATTGGATCCAAGACCAGCGACGAGATGATCCCAAGGTGTCCATATCCAGGACCAGGCCGTATCCTGAGCTGCTGCTGTGCTGGTGGTCATGGGGGAGTGGAGAGCATGAGACTGATTCCAGTGACCAACCAGGGACAGACTAGTCTTCACTGAGGCCAGCTTCCAGCCTTCACCGCTGAGACTGCAGCTCTACACAAACTTTTGGCCAGCGGAGAAATTAAAATGGTCGTGCCTGAAGGATTCGGATTTCTGCTTTCCAATCCGTCTCATCATGGACCAACGTTTATCCTTTTCTCATCATCTTGTTTCTCATAATTTTTTTTATTAAATATAATTATTTGATCATTTGAATGAGTATTTAACTGTGAATTGCAGAGCCGGCCCAAGCAGAGCCAGCCCAAGGCATAAGCGAACTAAGCGGCTGCTTAGGGCCCCGTGGCCACCAGGGGGCCCCCAAGAGTGCTTGAAATTATTGTGTGACTTTCGTTTTAGTTTGTTAATTTGTGGATTAGTGGTGGAACAAAATATATGCCAATTTATATTGTTATTTCTGACCGCGATACATACTCAGGCGCCAAGATATTTACCTAAATTTACAAAAGATCTGATTTAATTAATCAGTTTTCAACACCGACTGCAGCAGATAACCGCTTTAGCTACAGTACACCCAGCCGCCACCAGGTGGCGCTTCCCGTAATGGCGTATCATCACCGTACGTTCACACCGAAAGCGGTGAGAGCGTCCAAGGTCGCTCTGGCCGCCCTGGCGACAACGCTATCTGCCTTCAGCTCCGGCGGTGAGAGCGTCAAAACTCGCTACATTGATCTCGTACTTAAAGGAGCCGTTGCAGCATATCAGTTACATTCCTGCATAAAACATGTTTGTAGCGTGAAAATGTTGCGCACTTCTTATCAAATTCATACAACAATGGAAGATCAAGTTGCGTGTGACTTTGCTCTATTTATCCAATATGTGTCCATGTGTCTGAAATATCCTGAAGCAGCAGTGCTGTTTTGTACTGTCACATCGTGTGAGATTCCCGCTTTTTAAAGATAAATTTATATAACATTAATGAACATCAGTAACTCGCCAGTAACTTATTTGATGCATGTTCCTGTAAGAAAACATTGTAAATAATAGGAAATCCGGCGACCGCAATAATCAAACCCTTGGGAACAACTGTGGTCGGAACCAAAGTTCACTGGTCTGTGTTCCCTGAACTGCTATCAAGTGGTGGACTTCTTCATTCTGATTGCTTGCCGCCGAACCGCGTCAAAGCTCATTACCATAAAGTTGACTTCATTTCAACTCTCCTCGACGCTCACGCCGGCGAAGACGCGCCGCGCTGCTCCTCGCCGCTTATCGACGCCTATCGCCGCCGGCTCTCATTGAAAATGAATGACTTCCGGCTACTTTGACGCTCTCGCCGCTTTCGGTGTGAACGTACGGTTATGCGCTCAAACTTTTTAACTCCGCCAAAATATATAAAGATATCAATAGGACATGAACATTTAATTAGAAAGGCCTTGCGTTTATTTCACTCTTACAGACCTTGTCAAAATCTTGTAGATGGTATTTTGGCAAAAAATATTAGGGGAATTAAAAAACTTAAATATGTGAGTAAATAACTAATGTTCTCCACTGTTGAAAACATACGTGCTCAGAGGAGTCTGTGCTCACCTCTCAGAGCATTCTGATCAGTTGAAAAAATAGTGGGAATACATATTTTTTTTATTATAAATAAACCAGGGCTAAGCATAAAATGTTTCCATGTTTACATAAAATTAGTTGGTCAAGTTGTAATAAGTGTATATAAATTGCAATAAATTACTATTTTGGCAGTTTTTTTCTTAAATGCATATTCCACTAAATTGAGATTCTGCTGCTGTGATAGAGATGTGCTCTCTTCAGTCATAAACTGCTCTCTGCACATCAGCATTTTAAGCTTGTTTGACAGATGTGCACTTGTTTTACATTGTTGCAATTCTATAAATGCGTGTTTATAAAATAAATTCATCATAAATTTTTTATGCATTTCCCCCCTTCATTTACCAAAATTGTGATATATTGTGGCTGGTTTTCTTGTGATCTATCAATATATTGCAGAATCTTTGATATCGTGATTGAAGCAGCAGTGCCCGGAACAGCAGCAAAATGCTTTTTCATGAACTTGGCGATTAAAAAAAATAAGCTTCTGATTTATACAATTTAGAGTTGGTAATACACTGCAAAATTATTTTCTTTCTTATAGTTTTTGTGTGATTTTGTAGTCCAAATATCTAAAAATTCTTAAACCAATAAACATTTTCTAGAAAGATTTTTAGTCAAAATTATGTGAATTTTTCATTAAAAAAAGCTCAATAATCTGACAATTAGGGTAAATAAAAAAAAGATTGTTTTATGTTTTAAATAAGATTATTTTACTTATCTCATTGGCAGATTAATTTGTTTTACAAAAAAAAAATCACTAACTGAAAATTTTTGTACATATTTATTAATTTGATTTATATGCGAGTATGTCTAGAAAATGCTTCCTGATTTAGTTTGATTTTAATTTAAATAGATGTTTTAAGTTATTTGAACTACAAAATACAATATGTTTTTTTTTTCAGTATTAACATTTATATCCAATTAAAAAAGAAATTATCTTTATTGTCACTATGTTTGACTGTTTGGCAGCCTGTCTTGTGCCTGAATAATAATAAAAATAAGTATGTTATTGGCTACTTCCAGCTGCTTTTGTTTCTGCCAGCCCATATTAATGTTTTGTGTTATTTAGATTTTTGGCAAATAGTCATATAAAAAGTTGGATCAATAGGAAGTTGTTTCTGCAGAATAATATTTAGAATTGTCTTAAAACATATATTTTATGATGTAAGCAACACAGCTACAGCGAACAAAATCAATAATGTGTGTTTTAAAGTGTGCGAATTATCAAGGATTGATGATAATTTATCATATTGTTTGCACCAAAGGGGCCCCAAATAAAATCCTGCTTAGGGCCCCCTGAAGGCTTGGGCCGGCCCTGGTGAATTGATTTTAATTAATGAATAGGTTAACACATTGCTTAATATAAGAATGTTCAGTGCATTTGCCTGTCTCTTTATAACTTTTCAGAAGCCAAAAAACTAGGTCAAGATATAAATGGGAAAGAAAAATATTGTTTCCATTTCAAAATGTCTTTCGGGAAACATGTTACCCCCAATGTGTAAAGCAATTTGAGTGTGCAGAAAAATTGCTATATAAATGTAAGGAATTATTATTATTAATTATTATTTATTCAATTCTATGTGAAACACTTTCATGAGCCCATTTAGCCAATAAGACAAAAACATAGTTTTACTAAAGTAAACTTACATTTATCCACACAAAATAAACCTGACTGTATTTTTGTAGTAAAGTCGAGGTTAATTGTGTTAAATATGCCATTTCAGCCTGCAGAATGGCATTTCAAACTGTGGCCTAACAAAAATATAGAAAATAAATATCGAGTTTCTGTAATATAAAACTAAATAATTCCTCTCCCTGTATAGTTCCTAAAGTTATCTAGTGTAATATTAAGGTAAACAAATGTAATATTAACAGAATCACTCAATTAGCAATCAATCTGACTGATGTTAACGTTAAAGATTTGATTGAGCCTTTAAGTAAAACAATAATTAGTTTAACGTTACAGTACCGTTAATATAACATTAATTACATTACAGTAACATTAAGTTGCATCAATGTTAGCATTAGCATCAACTGCTAATTAGCGCTAGCTAACTAGCCTGTGTGACATACAGTAATAAACGTAAGATCTAATTACACTGACTTTAATATTCATTGGTTTAATTTGTAATTATTTATTTTATTTATGTTATTTTTTCTTTTTAATTCGCATTTTTCACTAAGTGAAGGCGGGGACTGTTGACTAACGTTAGTAGCTCTAAATTAGTTGACTGGAACGCTGTGATGGTGTTAGCATGTAGCATGTTCACACATAAAATAAGTACAGTTCGCAATTAAAACCATTACCTACCTTTTGTTGTAACTTAATAAAATCTACTGCAATTGATGTCAACAAAGATGTTTAATCCACAAGAATTTGATCATTATTCCTACCTGTTAGCGTTCACATCGGTTCAGTCCTTATATGTTAGGCTAGAGTGGGTTATTTTTTGCGAATGAATCTGTGGATTTAAATAAATTGTGAGAGTCGATTCATCCTTGACCTATTCATAAATACAACAGTTGCTTTGTTGCTGAATAAATGTCTTATTCACTTAAGACGGTGTCCTACCACCACCTACTGGCGGTTTCAGGTAATACATGGATAACTTCATTTTGTTGCATATTTTTCTTTTTAATTTATTATTTGAAGCATTATTCATTTAAAAAGAATTCACAAGAATAACGAATTTATATAATCATAATATATAAAATATAATATAAACGATAATAATAATACTGTTAAAAATGATAAATAATTGATAATGAAAATATAAAATAACCGAAATGAGCTACTCAAAATAAATGAATCACACACACACACACACGCACGCACGCACGCACACACACACACGTATAAATATATATAAACATGGCAATAATTGTAATAAAAAGTAAAACGCAGAAAAAGTTGTGCATGACAGAAAAAATACATAGGCCTAAGTGCAAAATTAATTTAATTAATAATTGAAAAAATGTGTATAAGCAGGTGGCTGTGTGAGCACATTAAGGCGAATGAGCCAGTCAGTCTAGCGCGGGCTTTCATTAGAAGTTTGTTGTGTTTTAAAAAGTCTCTACGTAATACCAAATGGAACTGTGGAACTCTGACATCATCGGTGACAGTATAAAGCTTTTGACGTAGCAGAAACTCTCATTAGCTTCTTTGGATGTCTAGTAGTTCAGTACTTTCTGCGATTCAACAGTACAGTGATAAAATGGCATTTTCAAAACTGATTAACCGTCTGAAGAAAGCGTTTGGTGTTAAGTGTGCGAACGAACAACCGTGTGAGCCACTCGAACCCACCGGCAGCACGACAGAGAATCACCGTCATCTGATGACCGATGACCCGGCCGTCGCTGCAGGAAAACAGGCAGGGAGACAGAAAAAGAGGAAACTCAAATTGTCTCCCATCTTCTTCGCCTGTGTTTCCAGAAGAAGAGCTACTGTTGTTGGTAAAATAGATTTATCAGCACTTTTAATTACTAAAGCATATTAAACACACCAAACACATCACATAAGTGTTTAAAGATCAGAAATGAACATTAACTGGAAGACATTTTAGAAAGATAGTTTCTTAAAGCCACAGTTCACATAAACAAGACAATTCTGTCATAATTTACTCCTTAAACCTGTTTGAGGTGCTTTCAGCCATTGACTTCCACAGTATTTTGTGTTCCTACAATGAAGGTTAATGGCTGCTGATTTCAGGAATTTTCTTCAGAATTTGTAGTTTTGTGTAAAAAACAGAAAAAATAAGAATTATTTGTATTAGGATTTTTTTTATTTCAGTGAGCTTTGCCTTTAGATATATAGTTTACTTGTTTGCTAATTCAATGCAGAAAAACCTTGAAGATCATCAATAAAAACACATTGAGTAATGTTTCTGCAAATGAACTGTTCAAATATCTTGTCAAAAAGAGTTGTAGAGTCATATTAATGATGTTCCTTCCTCTCTTTAGATCAGCTATGTGTGCAGGAGATCCACGAACTTCACGCAGAGCCCATCAGTAGCTCTAAATTCTTCTGCACTGCTGTGAGCAACCTGGAGCTGGAAGTTCTCCAACCTCCAGCTCTTGATGATCCAGCAGACGAAGACTTGGACTCTAAACCTGAAGTGAACAGCTTTGACTCTGCAGTGGTCATTGAGAACGACTCTGCAGAGCTTCACTTCCCAGCAGACAATGAATCCTCCCTCAGCGAGGACAGCCTGGAGCAAGAGCTTGATAGTCCTCCAAGTTCACCATCCGATGAGGACAATGAACTTCCAGTGAGCCAGCAGCTCATAACAGATGACATCTGTGACTCTGCCCTGGATGAAAACTCGAACCCTTCACCGGATCAGGTCTCACAAGAGGACTCTGCTGTGAAGTCTACAGCAGATGATGGGACCTGCTTGGACAATAGTAAGTTTATTGCTGGAGTTCAGAACATTTGTTTAGGCTCATCAAACTTTGCAAAATTATACAGTTGAAGTCAAAATTATTCGCTCTTCTGTGATTTTTTATTCATATTTTTTAAATATTTCCCAAATGATGCAGAGCAATAAAGTTTAAGTATTCAGAACTTTAAGCTGAACACTGGTATCTTGAAAATATCCAGTAAATATGATGTACTGTCATCACGACAAAGATAAAAGACATCAGTTATTAGAAATGAGTTATTAAAACTATCATGTTCTGAAATCTGACAATAATTCTGACTTCAACTGTTTGTGTTTTTATTTGGTTTATAATTTAATGACATTTTCTTCATTTTTAACAGATGACATCAGCTGCCGCTACAAACTCGGAAAGCAGCTTGGTGAAGGAGGTTTCGGCTCCGTGTATGAGGGGATTCGCATACAGGATGGTCTGCAGGTATTCATTTTTGTAGACTCAAATCCTCTGATGAAGTTCCCTGTTTAAAGAACATCATCAGAGCTTTCATTGTTTGGACATTTCTGCTGACGAATGAATCCTCTGTTCAGGATTTATGACTGAATGAAATGATCTCCGTGCACATGTTAATTGTTCAATTGTTCCTTTAAACAGGTGGCAGTTAAATTTGTCCAGAAGACCCCAAATATGCAAGATGTCAGCTCTGTGAGTAGACTACACTTTCTGTTCGCTGTGTTCAGTTTATAAAGTCTTATATTTATTATAGACCACAGGCTGTGGTCAGAAACCCTTGTTTTAAAACCAACATTATTATTTTGTTTTCAGTCATGTGACCAGCCACTTCCTCTAGAGATCACCTTGGCAAACATGGCCAGCGGTGGCTCCAGGTGTGCGAACATTATTAAGCTCCTGGACTGGCAGGTCTTTGAAAACCATTATGTCATGGTGATGGAGCGGCCTAGTCCAAGCATGGACCTGGAGGCATTCCTTGAAGTCAGCGGAGGAGTCCTCAGTGAGAAAACAGCACATACCATCATGAGGCAAGCTGTTTATGCGGCCAACGTGTGCTGTTACCGCGGGGTGTTCCACCGGGACATTAAGCTTCAAAACCTGCTGGTGAACCCCGACACACTGGAAGTCAAGCTGATCGACTTCGGGTGTGGAGACTTCATGATGGAATCAGCCTACAGTATCTTCTCTGGTAGGTGTTTTGAATAGTGTGGTCAAAAGTATCGACTTCGGTACCAATCGATTCTGACATTTAACAAGTCAATTTGAGCGCTGTTAAACACCACTGATTGGCCATTGGTGTTCACATGCTCAGCAAATATGACTGTGATGAGTGTCGGTATCGATTGGTAGTTGATACTTTTGACAACACTAGTTATGAATGTGCATAAGCATTTTTAATATACGTATTGAAAGCTGGTTAATTAGCACAGCTGAAGCCCATCTGGTATATATATTCAACATGATGCTAAACTAAACGTCTCTCCTCCAGGCACAGAAGCGTACATCCCGCCAGAGTTTTATGAAAAAGGATGCTACCGGGCCAAACCAGCGACGGTCTATTCTCTTGGGGTTCTTCTGTTCACAATGCTCCATGGAGAATTCCCATCAGCGTATGACCTGTACTACCTTCAACATGACTGGTCCAAATTTACCCTCTCTCAAGGTGAGATGTTCATCAAAGAACAATTAAGCAAAAACGGTATAATAATAATAATAATAATAACAATAAGCTCACCTCTCCATTTCTTCTTCACAGAATGCTGTGATATGATGAGGGCTTGTCTGCATGAGAATCCAGAGTGCAGAATTCCTCTAGAAGAGATGCCTTACCACGACTGGTCCATGCTGGAGTTCTGAGTCACATTAGCAGAATGTTTTGTATATTTGATTTTTGTACATGTCTGTAATAAAGATATATTTTATTGAACTCACTTGTGTTGTGGCTTATATTGTGATCTAGCCCCAGTGTTGTCAGATTGTGTGGATTTAAAATGTTTTTGTATGGGGTGACAACAATTTGGCATGAGGTTTGAACAGCATCCAGTCCTTTCCAACACACACTGCAGTTGACACTGGCGTCATTACGGCGCACTTTTAGAAATACACTTTTTCAGAATGCTGTACAGCGCTGACCCAAAACCTAAACATATCAGTCACTGCGACATCAGCAAATCATCCATAAATATTCCAATGGTTTATTGTGAAATCAGAGCTGTTCAGAAAAATGTATTAAAATACAAACGTCGTAACATGAGAATGTGAGACTCAATACAAAACATCAGCATTTTCACAATAAGAGCACCCAGTTTTATTAAGGTCGTTGAGTGTTTGTTGCCATCATGACAATCCTAAACAAAATATTCAGTGATATTCTTCAAATCAATACTGATAGTGTAGTTTGCGCAGACACACTGAGGTTTATCCAGTGTACAGAAGTCTGAATCATCCACATTATTTCATACGCTTCCAGAAACACGTTTACTACACGAATGTCCAGCGTTTGCTACAACTGTTCAACTCTTTAGATGATTCCTTTCTTACAACATCTCCAACTATGACAGCTTCTCATTACTCACCATTTCTTAATCTTACTAAATACTTGACTTGATGTCACTCTGTGGACTCTGGGGTCATGTGCAGCATGAGCAGGTCGGCCCCCCGGCGGACCACCACATTTAAGCTTTCGCTGGTCCTCACAGCATTATATATCTCCTCCGACGTGTTCACCTTTACCCCATTGATCTCAATAATAACATCTCCTGGTTTCATTCCGGCTCTGCAAAACAGAAAACAGGAAATGACATCATCAATAGGGTGCCTTAATCAACAGCTGATAACATCATGTTCAGAGAGCAGCACACCTGTTGGCTGGAGATCCTACAATCACACGGTGGATGAGAACTCCATGAGAAACATCAGGGAAGGACGGGTCTCGCATCCTTAGCTCTTCGATTATACTGAGGAGGGGAAAAAGAGAATTTAAAGATAATAAAAGACTCACTTCAGCGCAAAGTTTACGGTTTAAGGATTGATTGATAAATAGATAAGGTAGATAGATAGATTCATAGATAGATTGATTGATTAATTGATAGTTTAATAGACAGATCAGCAAAACAATCAATATTACATTTGCTTCAACCAAAAACACTTCAATGTCTGTGGTTTA